CACTGTTGCAGATTAAAGTATTCCTGATACAGCTGATATACTCTGGTTGTACTGTTTTGACCAGAATACAACTTCTTAGCATGGTCYCACACATCTTTGGCAGTGTCAAGAAACATGAAATTTACACTAATCTTGGGTTCCATACTGTTCCATAACCACGTGATAATCTRTGCATCCTCTTGTTYCCAGTCTTCATACTCATGAGAATCAGTGGAGGGTTTCTCCTCCCTTGTGTGTTTCACCTTCTTCTTTGCTTTCAGAAAAACTTCTACTGATTTAGCCCAAGGTACATAATTCTCTCCATTCAGTTTAATGGAGGTCATTTGAACATTCAGGTAGTTAGTAGGTATATCACATTAGATTTGCTATTACTGTTATCTCCCATTGCTGAATTCTGTTATTTCTAAATTCAGCACACTGCACACTACTTGATCACATTGATCACACTGGTTTCAGCACTTGTTATTGCTGAACCACAAAACACCCTACCCTACGACTACCTGAAATCTCACCACTATATGAGAACCACTCCCCCTTTGAATCACACAAAAARMAGCATAAACCCTAGCACACTACAGTCTGAAATCCCATCATACGATCTGAAACATACTTCCTATTTGATTCATAACAAAATATGCATAGAAATCTCTTACCTCATCACCCGAAAAACAAACCACACAAGAAGAAAATCAGACCACACATGACACCCATTGCACCACACGAATCAGCCCTCTTCTCTTCATCGATTAGGGGAGGGCTTCTTAGAAACCACAACAACCAACCATGAACAGCACAACTGGAGGCATAGAAACCTCCAAGGGAAGAGGGCGATCACTCCTTTTCAGCCCTTTCCCTTATCTCCAATCGATGGCAGAGAAATCAAGAGAAAACTCTAGATTGAGTGCGCAGAAAACAGAAATCTGGGCAGATCCGAGTTGCTTAGTTGAGCTCTGATCCATATTATGATTCTGCCTTTGAGTTCTGTTAGTCCGATAATAGCCAAGAAGAGAGAAGAAGAAAGAAGAAGGAAAGAGAGAGAGAGAAAGGAGGAGAAAAGGAGAGAAGAAAAGTCTGGTTCGAATCAGGGAAAAAATCGCCTCTCCCATTCGGCCAGACATGTTTTATATTACTAACATAATGGAAAAGAAACATGTGCCTTAAGTGAGGGACACTAGTTCTAATATAATATTACAGATCAGCAACCTCAACATGTTTTATATTACTAACATAATGGAAAAGACACATGCGCCCTTACTTAAGTGAGGGACACTAGTTCTAATATAATATTACAGATCAGCAACCTCAACACAAGTATAAAGACAGAAATACCCCTACACTAACAACTTTCTCTCTAAACAACATTTTTTTTCTCTTATAGAAGTTTCTACAAACTCTCTCTCATAGTGAAAATATTGACATTTTGACACTTAACTCTGCTGAACAAGACAAACCAGTATGTAAGGTCTATGTTTGTTGTGCGTTCTCCCAGCAAATTTTACTTCTTTTTGTGAACATACATGCAGGGGGCCCTATTAGTGAAAGTACTTTAACAAAGGTGATTACTCAGCTTAATGAGACAACTGATGTAGTTCTGGAATTTTTGCAAGATGCAAAGGTAATGATTTTGAAGGTCTTGGTATTAGAAATAGGCAATTCTATGGCTTCTTGATTTAAAATCAATATGCTACAGGAGCATGGGAAAAGGAAAGGAGATGATCTTCTAGCTTCAGTACGAATAATTGGAAGGTATGCTTTATGTGCTAGATCTTCATCAAGTCCTGTAACATTTATGAATTTCTAATTGCCTGAACCTTGTCATGTCTGTATATTACTGCTTTTGTGGTTATTCACTTCGTGGTGTATAATTTAGCATTTATAGTCATGCCCCAAGGTTTAAATGTTGTTTTTGTGTATGCTCGGGACCTTGGATTCTTAAGGAGATGGCAATATGTTATATTTCTAATGGATACAATGAAGCTTTGCAAAGTTCAGAAATGTTGGAAAATCTTGTGTTCAACAATGGAACATTGGTATGACAGGGAATGATGACATGGGCATGATTACATGCAACCTAAGACCATAGATGTGGTGCAGAGAATGTTTTAAAAGGTGTGCCTCACAGGCAGGGATCATTTTGTGGGTTGCATCTCACCTTACGCGTGTCTCACCTTGCTTGTTGTTTTGTTATGATGGATTAACCTTGAATTTGATGTTTGACTAGGTAATCTACTATATTATGGTTGATCATTGAGGTTTAGAATTTAAATAGTTTATGATGTTTATAATTTACACAGGTTGGATCTATGAATCTATGATGTTTAGAATTTGAACTTCAAGACTAGAGCAATGTTTAGAAACGCGGAGGCGTGACATGAGGTGTTCCACTACTTAGAGGTGTGAGGCGTAGTTCAGAATGTAAGCCTCCTGAATACAAGGAGGCTTACGCCTCCTTAAGAGGAGGGGGATGAGGAGGAAGAAAAGGAAGGAGCTCATTTTTCTTTATTTTTAATAAGAATCTTTTATATTAAGAAGAATGAAGATGCATAGCACTAGTATGGTTGATGTTTAGAATAGTTTATGATGTTTATAATTTATTACACAGGTTGGATCTATGAATCTATGATGTTTAGAATTTGACCATCAAGACTAGAGCAATGTTCTGAAACAGGGAGGCGTGATGTGTGGTGTTCCACTATGTAGGAGCGTGAGGCATAGTTCAGAACGTAAGCCTCCTGAACACAATGCCTCCTTAAGAGGAGGGGGACGAGGAGGCATACACCTCCTTTTCTTGTTTTTTTTCCTTCTCTTTCTTTCTTTTTCTTCCCCTTCTCTTCCCTTTCTTTTCCTTTCCTTTCCTTTCCTTTCCTTTCTTTCTTTCTTTTCTATCTTTTTATATGAGGTGTGCATGAGGCGCATGATGTGTATGCCTCTAGCATGCCTCATGAAAAAAGCATATGAGGTGCACGCCTCTTGCACCTGAGGCAAATGCCTCAGAGGTGTCGGCGCCTCTGGCATATGCCTCAGGGCGTTTTGGGGGCGCCTCGCATGGAGGTGTGCCTCGAGGCATACACCTGTCACGCCTTTTAAAACACTAGATTAGAGCTTTCATCTTGCTAAAACTACATTCAACCCAATGAGCTAATAGATATATGGAAACATTTCATATCTTTTTTAGAATTTAGATTTGCATATTTTATATAATGAGTTTCTTTTCTTTATTTTTCCAGAATTGGCACCTCCCTTCATTCAGGCATGAGGAGGCCTTGTGTCGCATGATTTAAAACACTGGGTTCAGATTGAATAACCAACAAAGGGAATGACTATATGCTTTGAACATTGTGGGGTGTGCCTCACCTGGCTGATAGGCCCCAATTAATGCCAGGAAGAGGAAAGGTCAACAATCAGCTAAGGGGGGGGAATAATTGAACAATTAATCACAYGAGGGCAATTATAGCTGGAGGGAATAAGGAGAGTCTTGGGGCATTTATAGCTATGTCAGTTATGAATAAGAAGAGTTTTTGGGCATTTATAACTAGGCCAG